GCGCTACCACGCCCGGCTCATTTTGATTTATTGTAGAGATGAGGTCTTGCCAAGTTGCCCAGGTGGGTCTCAAACCCCGCGGGCTCAGGCAATCCACTCACCTCAGCCTCCCAAAGGCATGGGATTACAGGCTGAGCCACTGAGCCCAGCGAAAGCAATTTTTCAAGTTCAAGGATTTGTATGAGGTGTGATAGATTACAAACTGAGTTTCTTAAATATGACTCTCATTTCTTGCTTTTTTTCTCTGTTTTTATTAGGATCAGTATGCAAATGCATTTTTGCATGACGACAACATGAATTTTCGTGTAAACTTACATAGAATGGTAAGTGTATCTTTTGCGTCTCGTTTTTTTCTTTTTATTTTTTTAGATTAGAAAATATAGTTTATTTAGAAAGTAAATGAGAGAGAGAGAGAAAGAGGTGATTCACCTCCCCAAGGTAGGGGAGGGGGCCAAAGCTTAAGAAAACATGGCCTAGCCATAGCTCAAAGAACACACGGCCATACCATCGCTCAGCAAGGCAATGGCCATTTCTTGTTTTTTCTTGGAGGAAATTTTTTTTGTGTTGGCAGGGTTGGGGTGAAATTGATTCTACCAGAAAAAATGTGGGTGGAAAGTTGTGCCAAAGGTCTCTTGCATGACTGCTGTTCAGCAAGCCCAAGCCTGTCATTGGGGTTTTTTTGTGTGCCATAGAGCTTTTTCTTTGTCGAGGGGACAGAAAGATCCACAAACATATATCCATGGCAGTGAGGCTAGAAAACGTCAGTAGCTAAGCCGGGCTCGGTGGCTCAGCCTGTAATCCTGCGCCTTTGGGAGGCTGAGGTGAGTGAATTGTCTGAGTTCACGGGTTCGACACCCGCCTGAGCAGCGAGACCTCATCTCTGCAATAAATCAAAAAATCAGCCGGGCATGGTAGCACATACCTGTAATTCTGGCTACTTGGAAGGCTGAGGCGGAAGGATCGCCGGAGCCCAGCAGGTCGAGGCTGCAGTGGCCGGGAGCGGCCACTGCACTCCAGTCTGGGTGACAGAGTGAGACTCCAACTCAAAAAAAAAAAAGAAAATGTCAGTAGCACAGATTTCAACAAGAAGATGGGTCTGAGTCTTATGTTTTCAAATTATAGTATGATGTTTGATTGGCTAAGACTAGCTGCTGTTCTGACTTATACATCTGAGAGAAAGATAAGGAAATTTCCTAAAACTTGGAGATGTGTTAAAAAAAATCACACTGAGGTTTACAATGAAACTTACTTTGGGTTTTTGTAACTGGTTCGTGCCTGCCTCTGTAGCTGCCACCATTACTTCCTCTTCTTTTTATTATTTATTGTCCAAGAAAAACACCAGTTTTTGTTGTTAGTGATGCCATTTGTATAGGTAAAATCAAAGCAAAAACTACAGCCTTTCCATGATAGTATGCTTCAGTGTCCTTTGGGGCTGTTTGTTGTCTTGCTGTGAATTGTGTTTCATCACAAGCCTGCATTGACAACTGAGAAGCGTTTGGAAGTCTTCCTTGCACCGCTGCCCCACCACTCGAAAAAGAAAGAAAAGATAGCATTATTTGTAATCATGATTTATTTGCTTGAGAAACAGGATGGTGGGCTCTTGGATACCAGTTCAGGCATCTACTAATTTTCTTCTTGTTTTGTGTACAAAGCCTATGAGACACAGGAAGAAGGCAGCAGACAAGAACCTTCCCTGCCGTCCTTTAGTATGCGCTGTATTGGGTGAGTGAGTATCATCAGAAAGAGCACTTCTCTGTGACGGTGATAGGTTTTCATGGTTAAGATGAGGAGGAGTTCCTGGTTGGTACACTTCAACCTCAGAGGAGTACTAGTTATGTTTCTTCTTTGGCCCAAGAAACTGTGTTGTTGTGTTTGGCTAAACAACCCCAGTGAATAGATTACTCAATAAAGAGAGCTGTTATTCAAAGAAAAAATCATTCCAGAGAGACAAATGGCTGTGTCTAAACTTGCGACATGGCTTAAATTTGTAAAATATTTTACTCCCGATCAAGATTTCAAATTCTTCCCTCTCTTTCTTTTTTTTTTTTTTTTTGAGTTGGAGTCTATCTCTGTTGCCCAGACTGAAAATGCAGTGGCCGCTCCTGGCCACCGCAGCCTCGACCTGCTGGGCTCCAGCGATCCTTCCGCCTCAGCCTTCCAAGTAGCTGGAATTACAGGCATGCGCTACCACACCTGGCTGATTTTTTGATTTATTGTAGAGATGAGGTCTCGCTGCCTAGGCGGGTCTTGAACCCGCGGGCTCAGGCAATCCACTAACCTCAGCCTCCCAAAGGCGCAGGATTACAGGCTGAGCCACTGGGCCTGGCTTCTTCCCTCCCTTTCTTGGTCCAAATCGATGTTTCAGTTGGCCAGGAGGCTTAAAGTTCAAGGTTCAGATATATAAAACCTCCTCTGAGTAAATTAAGCTGAGATGAGTCTGGCAGAATTGACAGGTAGAGGCTGTATCTTTTGTCCACAATTCTGCATTTTCCTCAGGGAGTTAGCTGAACTTTTAATCTCATTTCACTAGGGATATTCAGCCCCAGTTTCTAAATCTACTTGATTTTAGAATCAGTAATTAAGACTATATAATCAGCATCTATTGACCCAAAGCCCCACAGACCATTTCAGTCAATATCTTTCAAACTGAGCATGATAGTGAGATAAGAGAGACTGACATAGCTTTAGAGCCAAATCTCTGGTTACACAAATGGGATCCATAATTTTTTGTTCACTTTTCTTGCTGCTCTAGTTTCACGGTATGATTTCCCTGTTATTTGCATGGGGTGCCATGATATGAAATACCTATGCAGTGAATTTATTGGCAGGGCAAGGTGTGCTTCTGGAAGTAGGAGAATGAACCAATTTCCTTGTTACTTTATGAGTGGCTGGTGGTGAAGAGTGTTGCAAAAAGTGCTTTATTTAAATTTAAGTGCATGTGAAGACAGATGTGGTTAATGGATGCCATTCATTGTGAATGCAAGCTGTACTCAGAAGCCTTTTTTCTAAAGACAAGGAATGAAATTCCTTGTATGAGGGAAGACCTAAAAAAACCTGGAATTTATTTATAAAAAAGTGTGTGTTCTTACATGTATATAAACTTCAGTACCTTTGTTTGATGCAATACACCCACCGAGACGTTTTTTCCATGCTCAAAACAGTTTTTGAACTTGTCAGTTTCGATGCCTTTTAGTGCTTCTGCCATTTTTTGTTTTACTTCTTCCACGTCGGCAAAATGTTTCCCTTTGAGGACTTTCTCCATCTGGGGAAGCAACGAAAATTGCTTGGGGTGAGATCAGGTGCACAGGGAGGGCGTGGGACACAGGGGTCATGCCATTGTTGGTCAGACACGGCTGCACACTCAGGGTGGTGTGGGCAAGCGGGTTGTGGTGGTGGAAGAGCCAGTCGCCTCTTTACCACAACTCGGGATGTTTCTTCCGCAAATCATGGCACAGCCGTCTCAGAACTTCCAGATAAAAACTGTGGTTGACCATTTGATCTGGAGGAACAAATTCCGAGTGTACTGCAAGAGGCCTGCCCTCCAAAAAGATAATTACTGATTTTTGGGGATATCCCTTCATAATCGATACAGATTCTCTCCTTTTTCCTTTCAGACCTAATGGTAGAGTTTATTGTTACACACATGATGAAGGAGTTTCCTATGGATCTCTATGTGTAAGTACCATGGTTCATTTAATGTGTGCCAATCTGTTTTGAAGAGCTGTGTGATAGAAAATTTATGGTTTATGTATACGTCAAGAAAAATACTTTTGCTTGTGGAGAAATGTCAGACAACATTTTACGGCCTGGATTTGTATGTCTTTTCAGAAAGGAGGAAAAGTACAAGCCACAATTTGGATTCTGCACACGTCCTCATGGTTACTCTAGGCATGCTGCATGAAGAGCAGGGTGGGCATTCCTACGGTGATTGTGCCCATTGTATTCCAAAGACAGGTGACACCAGCAGCCACCCAGTTGTCTCTGGGCTTTAGCGTCAAAGTAGTCAGTAGTAGTTAGAAGGGAGGAAGCAGTGAGAGCGATAGGCTTCTGGTCCATTCTTAGCCTACACTGTCCTAACAGTTTAGCTAGAGTCCTACTAGCAAGGCATATTATGTCTCCGGTGGCCTGGCTGGGAGATTCCTGTCTCCTGAGTAGATCTGACTGTCACAATTCTAACAACAAGGACAACTAGAGGCCACAGAAAATCATCATATTTTCTTTTTTCTTTGAGTCAGGGTCTTACCGAGTTGTCCAGGCTGATCTCTAACTCCTAGGTTCAAGCAATCCTCTCACCTCAGCCTCCCAAGTATCTGGAACTATAGGTGTGTGCTGCTGTACCTGACCGTCATCATTGTTTTTTTGAGTTGGAATCTCACTCTGTTTCCAAGGCTGGAGTGCAGTGCATACACTCCCGGACACCACAGGCTCAACTTGCTGGGCTCAGGCGATCCTTCCGCCTCAGCCTTCGCAGTAGCTGGAACTATAGGCACATGCCACTACACACGGCTAATTTTTAAATTTATTGTAGAGATAAGGCCTCCCTATGTTACCCAGGCTGGTCTCGAACCCTTGGGGTCAGGCAGTCCTCTCACCTCCACCTCCCAAAAAGTTACAGGCTTGAGCTCTTGCGTCCAGCCTCATCACCATATTTTAATAAAGTTTAAGACTTAGCTGGACTTGGTGGCTCAGCCTGTAATCCCGCACCTTTGGGAGGCTGAGGTGAGTGGATTGCCTGAGCCCTCAGGTTCGAGACCCACCTGGGCAGCGGGACCTCATCTCTACAATAAATCAAAAAATCAGCTGGGCGTGGTATCGCATGCCTGTAATTCCAGCTACTTGGAAGGCTGAGGTGGAAGGATCGCCGGAGCCCAGCAGGTTGAGGCTGCGGTGGCCGGGAGCGGCCACTGCACTCCAGTCTGGGTGACAGAGTGAGACTCCAACTCAAAAAAAAAAAAAAGACTTAAAGTTTTCTTTCTTCTTTGCCACTTATACATTCTTCTCTTTAGTACTCAGGAACAGCTGTGCCATATTGATGTGATCTCAAATATCTGTATTATCTTTTCTTTTTTTTTTTTTTGAGTTGGAGTTTCATTCTGTCACCCACTGAAGCTTTGACCTGCTGGGCTCCAGCGATCCTTCTGCCTCAGCCTTCCAAATAGCTGGAACTACAGGCGCGCGCTACCACGTCCGGCTAATTTTTTATTTATTGTAGAGATGAGGTCTCGCCAAGTTGCCCAGGCAAGTCTCGAACCCATGGGCTCAGGCAATCCACTCACCTTGGCCTCCCAAAGCACTGGGATTACAGGCTGAGCCAACGAGCCCGGCCTATCTTTTCTTTAAAAGCATCTTAGTGTGTCTAACAACAGAATTACTACCTCCATATTTTGGACAAGAGAGCAATTTGGTGTACAGCAAACTCAGAGTACCTTATTCCAGGAGTAGGCCAGTGATCTAGGGAAGGATAAAGGATTTTACTCTATTTAAATAGCACAGACCTCCAGCTTTTTGATATTTTATAGATTATATAATCTTGGGTTTTCAGGTCTGAAGCGATATAATTTTATTTTTAGGTAAGTGAGTTACGGTTTGCATTTTTTAATGCTTTTTGGGTATTTAAAAGTAATTCTTATCTTTTATTTCAATTCAAAGCCTGTGAAAATTTACTTTTTATAACACTTAACAGATAAATTTTTTGCTTTTTTTTTTAGATGGGGTCTCTGAACCTTGGTATCTCAGTATTCAGATTTATTTTTGCTAATTTTTTTATTTATTGCAGAGATGAGGTCTCGCCAAGTTGCCGAGGCAGGTCATGAACCAAACCCCAATTTTCTCAGTATTCAGATTTATTTTTGCTGTAGACTTCATTTCTCGCTTGATTATAGTTTTAGAATATTCTATTTACTTTATAGCATGTATTACTGTAGTTCAATGTTCTTATTTTACAAGTAAGGAAACTGAGACTCAGGAGATTAAATATTTTGTCCAGGTTTATTTTGCTAGTAGGCACCATTACCAGAACTTGAACCCCTTTTTTTTTTTTTTTTGAGTTGGAGTCTCACTCTGTTGCCCAGGCTGGAGGGCAGTGACATGCTCCTGGTCACCGCAGCCTCAACCTGTTGGGCTCCGATCCTTCCGCCTCAGCCTTCCAAGTAGCTGGAACTACAGGCGAGCGCTACCACGCCCGGCTAATTTTTTGATTTATTGCAGAGATGAGGTCTCACCAAGTTGCCCAAGCGGGTCATGAACCGAACCCCAATTTTCTTACTGCAGATCCTGGTTAGTTTCCTTTCCCAGGTATATTCGTTATCTATTGCTATGTAACAAACTACCCCAAAATCTAACGGCTTAAAGCAAACGTTTATCACCTCGCAGTTTCTGTGGTTCAGGAATCCAGGAGAAGTTTAGCTGGATAGTTTTGCAGTAGGGTCTCTTACCAGACTGTAATCAAAGCATGGGCCGCGGATATCTGAAGTTCCACTGGCACTGGAGAATCTGCTTTTAGATTCACTTAATGGTTGTTGGCACGCCTCAGTTCTGTACCATGTGAGCATCTCCATAGGGTTGGTGGGCATGGCAGCTGTCTTTCCCCAAGCAGCTAATCCAAGAGAGAAAGGGGAGGAGAGTGACAGTCCAAGATGGAAGCTATAATATCTTTTATAACCTAATCACAAGTGACATACCATTTCTCTTGGTCACAAAGACCAACTCTGATACAGTGTAGCAAGGGACTACACATGGTACGAATACCAGGAGGTGGGGATGGTTGGGGCCATGTTGTGGCCAGTATCCCTGTTGCACAGCTTGTAAGTTGCATAACCAAGATTCATACTCATTTCTCTCTGACCTAGTGTACTCTTAACTACTTCTGGGATAAATGACAAAGGAAAGATGTATATAGAGTGCTTACTGGACCATCAGAGCAGGTTGCATTTGACCTGAGTCATGAAGAAGCACTAGGCATTTTCCATGTAAAGGCGTGAGGGGTGGACGTACCAGGTAGGGAACCAGCATGTTTGTGTCTTGAAGGCTTGAAAATGTGGTATGTTCAGAGAGGAGAAGGTAATTGGATGGTTAGAGTATAGGATGCGTGGAGTAAAGGTAAGAGAGTAGAAAAAAAGCTTGCCTGAAATTAAGTAGCTGATGGGAAACAGTAAAGGTGGGAATGATTTGATAAGATTGTATGTTCAGTACTGTAGAGTTATAGATGCCTGCTCTGTGCTAAATGTTCTCACCCTCTCTTCCCTTAGTTCCTAACTTCACCCTCAAAAGAGTTTTTGTCTTGCTTTGCTTCTTAGATGCTTTGCTGTCTGCTCCCTAATTGACTGTCCTGAGGGTAGGAAGATGGATGGGGACAATAACGAGGCATCCAGTTGACAGACTGGGCAGAAAGGCCCACCCCCAGCCTGAGTTCGCTTTCTTCATCACTGCCCATGGGCATGTGTCCACATCTTTCTTCCCCACCTCCAGCTCCCTTTCCGGTTTTTGGTATTTGGAGCATCAAGTCTTTTCAGGCGGACTTATCTGCTCCCAGCTGGGCAGCAGGCTGGGCTGCTGTTCTCACTTCTCATTATGTACTGCTTTTCAGCAGTGTACAGCAGAGTGAGAAATTGAAAGCAAAATGAATTTCTACCATTTCAGATAAGTTTGTAATCTTCCTAGTGGAATATGAAGAAATATGGAGTATGGAAGAACTTAATACTCAAAGCCAGAATCTGGGTCAGAAATGAAATAGTTTCACTTCTGTGTGTGAATGCTGTAGGTAAAGTAACGGTAGGGAAAGGCGCTTATACAAAAAAGAAAAGTCATGCCTAGAGCAGTAAGAGATAGGAAAACTCAACCAATTAATTTCTATTCCTGGTTGTACTCTCTGGTTCCTGTAGCCACCCCCACTGCCACTGCGGGATTTGAGAGTGAGGGGAAATGATCTTAGGGAGAATAAACTCTCCTTTAAGTTAGTCTTACATGGAAAACTTGACTCTTTGTGTTTGTGTGTGTGTTGGGATCTCACTCTGTTGCCCAGGCACGATCATGGTTCACTGCATCCTTGACCTCCTGGGCTTAGGTGATCCTTCCTCCACAGCCTCTCAAGTAGCTGGGACTAAAGGTGCATGCCACCATGCCCAGCTAATTTTTTGATTTTTTTCTTTGGTAGAGATGAAGTCTCAATATGTTGCCCAGGCTGTTCTAGAACTCTTCCTGCCTCGGCCTCTCAAAGTGCTGGGATTACAGGCGTGAGCCATTGCGCCCCGCCATGGATGCTTCTTAAGTCAGAAACTTCCAAACCCGTGGGTAGGCACCAGAAGAAAGGTACAGACTTCAGTAGACCCTTCAAGAAGATTTTGGAAAAAAGTGGAGCCCATTTTGTGTTGAAATAGGAAACTCTTACATGCATTAAAGAAACGCTCCAAGAAGCAGTACGTTTGGAGTCATTCTGCCAGTATATATATTTAAGACTGTAGCAGTTATTAAATTTTTTATTCTTCTTGGTAAATAGTATAAGTTATTGAGACCACAAGGCTTATGATGTCACTTGTTGGGTGACTGTGGAAACAGGAATAAGCCTAAGAGCAGTGCTGGTGTGGCTGTAGCTTGCCTTTTTGTGACCCAGGGAGTGGTGACAGCAGGGTAGGATGTAGGTGGCATCTCGCTTCTGCTCTGGAGTGGCTCAGGAGCAG